TCAATAGGGAATTAAAATCTTGGAAATTTTCCGCTATCATCATCACGAAATCACAGGGTCACACCTTTTTGCAAACCACCATAATAAAAAGATATTAAATTGCATTAAGTATATTAAATCAGAGAAGTTACGTATCATTTAAAAAAATACACAAAAATAAACTCTTAATATAAAAAACAATAAAAATTATAAAGAATCCTTTGTAAGAAATTTAAACAGAATTAATTCATTTACTAAATCAAAGCAAATTTTATCAGAATAAATTTTATCAGAATAAATCTCATTAGAATAAATAATCTCTCCACTTGCTTTTTGGTTCGTTATTTTGTCTATTAGTTGCATAAAATTTTCATTACGCTTGGATAGTCCTAATAAGATTTGTTCATCGTTTTGCCATTTTGTAAAAGCTTCTACGACTATGTCTGTGGATGGTCGTCTTTCCGGTTCTTCATCCAAACATTGTTTCATTAAATTAACATAACACGTTTCGATATTTTCAAATTTTCTCCAAACATTTCTCCAAACATTTCTTCAAAAATTGGTGGCCTTAATTTATCGAGTACTATTTTCTCATCAAATGTGTTTAAATATTTTGTTATAGGGTATAGTCACTGATACTCCATATAAAATTTCCCACATAATTATACCAAATGAATAAATATCAGATTCTTTGGTATCTTATTTCTATTTTTGACTTCCGGATCAATAACTTGGTGCTATTCTTGAGCTATGTTTATTGATTTTAAAAGTCCTAAGTCTGCAATATATGTACTGCTTAAATTGGTTAATAAAATATTGCCACTGTATAAATCTCGGTGAATACGTTCTTCAGAATTGATTATTTGAAGATCAGAAGCAATACTATGCAACAAATTTAATTTATCATTCCATTACGTTAGTGCTACAGAATCAAGTTTGCTACTTAAAGATCCCACTGCTAATTCCATTACAAGAATATAATTCTTAGAAATATCATCTTTTGATATTTCATAACACCTTAAAAATGTTGGATTTTCACTGTCATATCACAGTATGCTTTTACTTAGTATTGAAAATAAATTGTTAAAATATAAATTGTTGAATTTAAAACATGTCTACACAATAAATTCATTTACCTCTTTTACAAATTCTTCATAATTTCCTTTTGAATTATGAAGCAATTTAAGTGCAACAGGTATTCCAACGCGTTGATTTTGATTTATCCATTCAGCACAATATACTATCGCGAATCCACCTTGTCCTAAATATTGTATATTTTCAAACTCGCTGTAAGGAATCCAAGTTAATGGATACTCGCTTTCAGTTAATATAATTTTTAAATCATCATCAATATCTAAATTTTCATATATTCACCTGTTTGTTACTAATGAAAATTAAATTATTATTGTTATATTTGAATTATTTTGATTAATAAATATAATCAAATAATAATTAATTACTTGGTATTTGTTTCCGTTCTCTAGTATTTTATTTTAATTACATTTATTAAAAAGAAAATGTATAATTTATTATAGCAATATAAATAACTTATATATGGTACCATTCATTGACTTTTTTTTAAGTCTCTAGTTACCACAATTCCATTTCGATAATAAAATCCAACATAACGTATTCCACATCTCTGCAATTTTTTGAATATAAGTGAATGACTTATGTGCAGCAGGGGGAACTTTGCTTTCGATGATTTTCGGGATCGATGTTCACAAGTATTTATATGTCGTAGTACTGTAAAACTAGAATTTTTCAGGTCTAAGCAAACTTAAAAAAATATAACAATCAATACAACACTTTATTAACAAAAGAACATCCTAGCAAGCGTCTCTTTGTTGAATTATGGTGAATCACGCTAAATCACGCAACAAAAGGTAGATATACTAAGAGTTGAAGTATTGTCTACTGTATAGCAGAAGACAATAAAAATATATTTTTATAAACTTTTAACATCATTTTTTTGTTTTTTTCGTCTTTTTTCTTTTGTTTTCCAAAAATTAACTTGCTTTTTTTCATTTATAAATTTCTGTAGACTGATTTCAAAAGTTTTGAAAGTTATATGTATTCTCTATAAGACATTTGATTTATTTTATATATGCGATAGTATAGGTTTGCTAATTATAGATGAAGTATAAAAAATGGGAATAAAGGGTGTGTAACTTGTTATAAGAAACTTTTAATAAAGCTCTTGTGTTTATAAGCTATATTTTAACCTGGGTGAATAGTTTTATTCATTTATAATGCAAGTTAGTTTGCTTCGAAGTTACGAAAGAAATTGTTATATGTTTAATGATTATCTATCTGTTTTTGAAAGTGTATCATGTGGATAAAAACTGTTTTATGATTGGTCAACTACCTTATGATCAGACCCGTGCATTTCTGAAAAATACAAAAGTCGCCCTGCTCTTATGTGGGTTAATCTTCTAAACACAATGTGCTATTTTTATTTATGATTATAAATCTTTTTTTATTCATAATAAGCGGTGCTATGTAATACATTAATAAATGCCTCCCATAGGTTGCCTTTGTTTGATCTACACCAGATAAACTCGAAAAGGTGATCCTCTATCAAATTCTTATTTTGATTACGTGGCAAGATCTGTAACTTGATACTGTTCCAAGTTCCCTCGATCATGTTTATGTGAACTCCAGAGTCGGAATCTGTAAAATGCTTGGAATGATTCGCAGTTTCGTAGAAAATACCTGATTTTCTTAACCTATCATAATCTGGCCAGCAATCAGTTCTAACTATAGATCCCTTCTTAACATAACTCTTGATAACCTTTTAAATCGTATTCCAATCCCTTTTGTTCACCTTTTTAAGAAAACATCTCCTCTCGCTCATCTTTTCGACACCTCCAATTACTCAGACACCATCAACTCTCCTACCATAATAATTCTTTCTCTTTCCAAATTTTGATTCATCGATTTCAACAATTATTCCTTTACCACTTATCTTTTGACATGAATCTTGTAGCGTATCGATAACCAATTCCCTGAAGAATCTCATATAACTGCTTATCATGTTCGAGGAATGCCCTGTCATCATCTGTATCAAAGTATACGAACATTTACACAACTACAGGTACCCAATTAACATAACCTTGTTACAATCAATGTGATTCTTTGCAAAAAAAGAATCCTTGAATATCGAAACTGACTTTCGACACTTCTTATTCAGGCAGCAAAACTGATTCTTATCACGATATAACTTTGAAGAGCATATCTCACATCTGGTAGGTTTGTACAAAACACCCTCCTCAAAAAGAAAACTAACGCATTTATCTTTGCTTACAAAAATACGCTCGACAGAAAAAAGTGCAGGGACAGACATTCTTGCCTTTCAAAAGCAGCTGGTCGACCATTTTATTATTCTGAACCGATTAAATCAATTCGGTTCAGTTTTTTTTTGCAGATTGTTTCTTTTATCATAGATCTTGACCATTTTTAGAAAGAGCTTCAAATTTTTTTTAGTGAAACAACATGATACACAGCATCGTAGAATTGGTCTTATTTTTTCCTAATCACGGTTTGCAGTATAAGATCAGCATGCAGTCGGTAAAAAATGGTTATACTTCTCTTCTCTTTTTCTTATTTGTCGATGATGAATATCAGATGTGAATTTCTTGCAAATTCTGCAGTTATCACATCCTCACTGTTGAATAGTGTAACAAATACAAATTTTTATGTACTTTTCCGAAAGTCACCTAATTTTCCTTTTCTGTGAATATGAATTTTATCATTAGTTCATTGCCGGTTTATTTCTGAAATACCCGGCATGTCACATGGTGTCAACAGAATTTTTCTCACATATACTTTTGTTCAAAAAATATCAGATGATCTTGCTGTGCATCATCTTTTTATCTAATAAAAAATATATTTTTTTCCATAATGTCCTGATATATTAGTACCATTTTTACAGTAACAAATGACAAAAAAGTTCAGTGTCTATTCCCACATGACATATGTTTGATAAACATGATCGACAGTTTCTTTTATCCATGTCATATTACTTTACATGATGTATGAAACAGTTTATTTGAGAAACCGGTTCATGTAAATCCTGGTCCTGTGGATTCGATGTACACTTTTTGATTTGCTTAAGAAAATAAGTACTTTTTTTTGTTCTCTGATTTACATCTCATAATATCTATGCATATTAATCTAATAGATATAATAGGTGAATTAGATGCTGTAGGCGTAGCCTACTGTGTTTAATTTGGTATTGCGCAATGCCTCAGGCATGGAGCATGCTACATACGCTCAAGTAGCAAATAGAATTGATTAGCATACTAACTGTTGCTCTCTCATTATTCTTGTTCATCTGATTTTTAAAATATTAATTGGATATTTTCTTACTGAAGATTTTTAATAACCCTTTTAGATTACTATAGTATACAAAATAATATATAAAGGCACTAATTTCTTTTTTTTCTTTTAAATAATGCTCTGATGTATCTCACGCGATTTTCTTTTAATTTGTATACATTTACTTACAATCTGTGTGAATACTTTTTATCACAGCAATATAGAGATATTTACAAATTTAAGAAAATAAAAGGAAATATCGGTGAACTCCAAGTATTAGATACATTAAACAGACTCGGCAGTAAATTCTTCTCAAGATTTTCTATCAAATATTATGGAGATGATGGTATCGATATCCAGGGTTTCTTTAATTCTACATATTATATTATTCAAGTTAAGTTTCAAGCTAATAAACAAGGAATTGGAGAAATTACTAAGTTTAAAGAAAAAATTCAAGTATTTAAAAATACTATTGGGATTATCTTTTGTCCTAGTGGATTAAGACCTTCTAGTAAATAGAAAAAATCTTTATTTGATGATATTTTAATTATAGAATTAGTCGAAGAACTATTAAAGAAACCTCTTCAGGTTGCATATCAAAAAGAATTAAATTTGTGAGGTCTTCTTGAAAATTCAGTGATTCGAAATCAATCAGAAGAGTTTTTGATGTATTAAAACAGCAAAAACTAAAACTTCATTTAATTAGATATTCATATGAATTTCCTTTCGATCTTGAGAATGACATTTCAGATATTGGGTATGTTGGGTTCCATTATATTGGAACATTTGAGTTAAGGGAAACAAATCATCATATCATAGTTTGCAATAAGCTAGGGGCATCGAGAAGCATTCTTGAAGCAAAACTCGAGGAGTTCAAGAAGGCCAAAAATTGTTATTTACCAGAATATTATTTTGTTGTATTTATCATCGATTGCTGGGATTATGATGTTCTACTAAAATTAATACAAGATAGCAATATCATTGTCTCTTCTTTAAAGTATGTTAGATCAAATCTGTATTATCTTTTTAATAAACTATCACTACAATAGAATTTTTATCGAATTTGACTATTACAAATTATTGCATTGTCATGTATTTTTTATTTAAAATTTCAATAAAAATAATACAAAAAAAAAATATCTAATAAATATACCAATTGATATAATCATACGAATGATAAAATTTACCAGAATTCTGATCTAGAAAAAAACCAAGGAGGCTGGGTGGTTTGAGAAAGTTCATTGTTACTGATCTCATATCTGTATCACACGGCTCCTCACTATAATCGCTTGAAGTATGCTTTGTAGTTTGGGCAGAGTAGTTATAAGGACCCCTTATGGTTATCTTTAGGCCTTTCTTTGTATCTTGTTTTGATAATTTTGTCTGAATCAAACTCGCACCTGAATATATTATGCTTGATTTCGCCATTTGCCTTCTTGATATATTTTTCTTGGGTCTCTTTCTTAAGCTTGAGATATGGTTCCTTTTCAATATTAAACATTTCGCACCAGATTCTAGCAATGATCAGTGATATAACTCTGGAACTAATCCTTACATTCATCTTGCTGACCAGGTTTTATAAACTTGGTCTTTTTTAAATCTGAAATATTGTATCACACAGAATTCAAGTTTTATAGTTATAAATACCATTAGCATCTTCTTCACAAATTTTATCATAAGATAAAGACCCGCACTCCAAAACCCTCATTAAATTACAATCTAAAAAAGGAATTCAGCAGATTGCTGGATTCCTGTTGTTTGAAAAGGGTTTCTATGAAAATTAAAAGTAAAGAGAATAAGACAAAACCACGAAACATCGTTAAGAAAGACAGCAATTGGAAAAAGATAATACTCAAACTTCTGATAAAATCTTTCACAACCAAAGATACGAGATTTTGTAGATGCGAGAATAAGAAGAAATGTTGTCTAGAAAATGAGACTGAATGCCTAGATTACTTCGCATAAAATCTTTCATTTCAAACCTGTATTACCAAATACACAGAGAAACGAGTAAAAAAAATTTTATTTGGAGATTCTCTCCATCTCATGAATATTGTCATCATAAATATTGTATGTGATGATGTAATCACAGAAAAAAAAAACTACTCAAGTTACTGCATCCTGAAAAAAACTATAATCATAACGATAATATGAATAGATTTGCTATTGTAACCAACATTGTGGATTTTTTTTGATAAGGTAATTCTCTGAAAGGATATTTAAACAATCTAGAAATCATGTTTCTCATAAGCACCCATATATATCGATACAGTATAGACATATTTTTGGAACCCTGTTTTGGGGAAAAGGAAATTTTCTGCATCATGTCATATAAAAAAAACCCAGATCTGAATTGATTCAAAAATTTCATGTTAACATTATTCGACCAGCTGGATTACTGCGAGAAGTGTGAGAAATTAATTGTTCACATGCACTGTAGCAATCTGGAAGAGTTGAAAAAACAACTCAAGAAATGCATCTATCATACAAATCCTGGCGAATCATTTGATGAGATATCTAGCGATACAAGTTACAAGGAGGTGATCATGTACCATAGGAGTACACAAACAGAAAATCCAACTAAAGAAAGCATGCAGATTGATAGTAGATAGTAGGGCAATTTCGGGAGTTCTGGGACACTTTTTTGGTACCCTGGGTACTAAAGTATTCATTTTGCTTTTTAGATCGCTCAAGAAGCCTA